ACCGTGGAATAACCTGCCCGAGACGGTTGTTATGTCTAAATCTGTGGAGACATTTAAATGTCGCCTTGACAGATATATGCTGCAGCAACGAGCGGACTATGTGACTTTTTAACCATGTGACTAGTGACATATGTGAATCAATGTATGCATTCACTTAATGCTGTAATTTCTTCACATTTTTGCTTGTTTATCGATTTTTTATGTACAAATAGGGAGTTCAAAGGCGTAAGCCTATTTCCCTCAAATACACTGACTGACTGAATGACTGACTGACTGTAATCATAAAGTAGTGCATAGGGTCACTGTAAAGTTGTGCGGGAGATTGTATATGGCAGATTTTACAAAGCTGGCTGTGCATAGTCATGCTGTACAAGTCGATTTCTGTCGAAAACTAGACGAGCAAGTTTTCTTTTAAACACAAAAACTGTGTCTGCCGTCACCATCTCGCTTGGAAGCGAGTTCTACGGCCTGACAACCCGCTGGCTGAATGAAAATTTTCGTCGGTCTTAACGCGTGCGCTCATTCCTGACTTTGTATGCATGACCGCGTAGTTGGTTTTTACGGGCGAACTCAAAGAAATCCTCTGCTCTTAATGAACAAACCGGGCTGCGAACAATCCGGAACGTCCAGAGTAGACTGCAGTTTATATGTCTATAAGAGAGAGGGAATAGGCCTAGGAAATTCAGCCTCTCCTGATAAGACAAATGCTTTAAACCGTCGACCGTCTTTGTCGCTCTGCGTTGCACATGTTCGAGTAAGTTGATAAACTTCCTCATCCATGGTGCAGCTGCTGGCATTCCATACTCTAGATGAGGTCTTAAAAAGACTCCAAAGAGTCTTTCGAAAAGTTCGGAAGGAAATATTTTAAGTGCACGTCTGATCCAGCGTAGAGTACTAGTTGCCTTCTGGACCATCTTTCTACAGTGTTCTGATGGCGATAGATTTGTGGTCGTCCATACACCCAGATCTCTGTGTCCTTCCACAGTTTCTAACCTCGTCCCGTCAATATTGTACTGGTGTCTGGGTGAGGCATTGCGGCCGGTGTTCAGATGCAAAACCAGGCATTTGAATACGTTAAACTTCAAAAGCCATCTGTTAGACCAAGCACACAGTTTGTTGATGTTCGACTGCAACTTCTCTGCATCATCATCACACTTGACTTCACTCCATATTTTAATGTCGTCCGCGCACATGAGAGCCTCGCAATTCACTTCGCTGATGCAGTCATAAACATAAATCAAGAAGAGTACTGGGCCTAATACAGAAACCTGTGGGACACCACTTTCCACCTTTACCCATTCCGAGGTAGAATTTCCAACGAGGATTCTTTGTAGTCTGGAGGACAGAAAACTCCTGATCCACCTAAACATTCTTCCTTGAATTCCTACATCCAAGATCTTCTGTAAAAGAAGCCTGTGTTAGACACTGTCAAAGGCCTTCTTGAAGTCAAAAGATATGACATCTACTGGAAAACCCTTATCGGTAGCTCGTGTCCATTTCTCATGCGAGTAAAGAACATTCGTTAGGCAGAAGCGCCCTGGAGGAAAGCCATGTTGGGCATCACACAATATTTTGTTCTGTTCCAGGTATTTCATCAAGTGTCTTTTGATAATGCGTTCCATTATTTTACACGCGATGCAAGTAAGACTGACAGGACGATAATTTCAGCAGTCAAGTCTTGAGCCTTCTTTATGGATCGGATTAATCAGTGCGCACTTCCATTCTTCCGATAGCTCGCCGTCTTCAAATGACTTTTGAAATATTGCGGATAAGGGTTTGCACAGTTTATTAGCGAGTACACGAAGTGCTAGGGCGGGAGTTCTATCTGGGCCAGGCGATTTGGCAGGTTTCAGCCGGAGTAACTCGGCCCTAACTACGGTAGATAAGAAGAGTGGTTCCTCGGTTAAGGAGGGTAGGGAGGGGATAAGAGGGGGAAAGTACTGGGAGGAGAGGTTGGTTGGCGAATGGATGGATGGACAAATATAGAACTAGATTCTCGGGTGAAGAGGGACTGAAAGAAGTCGGAAAGGAGGGACGCTTTAACCTGGTCATCAATCTCCACTTTTTCATCTGCAGACCTAAGGGCAGGGATCAGCTCCTGAGTCCTTTTAGTACTTCGTATATAACCATATAGAATTTTCGGATGCTCCAACGAATTGCGAAGTATGTTCAGTTCAAACTTCTTTTGCAGCTTTGAGGCCTCACTTTTACGGTCGTTTCGTTGCCGCTTATATTCCTGTAAGTGTTCGTCGGAGCCAGTTAGTCTGTAACGCCTCCACAGACGATTCCTTTTTCTGTAAGAGGCCTTCAAGTCCGGGTTTATCCACTTTGGGCGGTTTGTGATTGTCTTCCTTCCGAGAGGACAATTGGAATAAACAATCTCTTTCAGTAAGGAACTGAAAGTATTCCAGTTGTCGTTTGCCCGACCATGCAGTTCAGTCTCCCATGATATAGCTGTCGCTTCCCTCCTCATGAGAGAATAGTCCCTTTTCCAAATGTTTCTCTCCCACCTCTCGTGCTGGACGGGTTTGAAAAAGAGTGAGTATTCGAAGTAGAGCGTGATGTGGTCGCCTGCCCCTAATGGTTGTCGGTCCTGCAGGTCTAACACGTTTTCCTCCTCTCGGGTAAAAATAAGATCAAGGCAGTTCGACTGCTGTCCTTCCCTGACACGTGTTCCAAAGGTACCATTCTGGCAGAGACGTTTGTCCGTTGCCCATTGTAGTAGTTTGTGATTAAAGCTGTCTTGCGGCCCTTGTGCAGTCCACGTTAGCCAATCAATGCCAGGAGCTTTAAAATCCCCAACGATAAGGACGTCTTTCTTCTCGCTAGCTTGGTACAGTTCGGATATGAGCATGAGTCTCTGAGCACTAAGTCTCTAAGTTCGTCTAGTTTGTTGAAGAGGCTTTGCACATTTGTGGATATAACCTTCAATGACTGATTCTTTGGATTGGCCCCGCCTTCATTGTGACGGGGTTCTGACCACAGGAAAGACCCCTTTGTTTGGACTATTTGTCCATTTTTTATTTTCAGCGCCTTCTATCCTCTGCCAATTCTCTCCTTCAATTCTGCTCTCAGTTCTCTCATTTTCAGTCTTTCCCTCGGTTCGTAGTCTGGTTGAAAAAAACACTTCCTTGTGCGAATTGCGTAAGGTCGTTCTACTTTCTAACAAATGCGCTGCTTGGGCTTCGTTTTGCAAAATAAATTTCAGGAGTCTTGGGGACGTTTTTAGGTCACGATTAAGGTCCGCTCTGCCTAGTCGGAAAGCTTTTTTAACGGTGAATATTTCCCCATCCTGCAGGACGGCACTGGCGTACTGATGAATAAGGTCCAGGTCGTACGTCACTCGTTCCTTCGGAATGCATGACGTGGACTCTGGGGCGCCATCATAACAATATTTTGCTAACGATTTATGAAAGAGCTCATTACTGTCCCGTCCGCACTGGGACGATATAATGCTACTGTTGTATTCCCGACGGATGTTGGCACTTCGACATTTGAATGATTTTCGGCCGGCGAAGGGAGGTTAAGGCATGAGTTTTCATGTGACGTACTTGCTCCGGCAGTGGAGCTCTTACAATCGCTACCCTGTTGCAATGTACTGCACGAAGGCTTATCGTGTCCTTTTCCATAAACGGAATTGTTAGGGCATTTTCCAGATGATTTAGCCTTTTGAAGAAGTGGAGTAACAGCATTCACGTCCAAGAATAACGGCGAGTGCTTGTAGTTTCTAACAGATCTTCTGAGGGTCACCCTGGCTTTCCCAACTTTAGTGTTCGATGATTTGGCAGGTTTTTTTACTATAGCAGGTAGTGTAACCTGACTTATTTTTAATGCATTAGCGTCGACCGCCGCGTTATCCACCGAAACTGGTTTGTCTGGAGTTTCCTCTGGAGACATAACTCGCTTCCTCGTCCTGACTGGCTTTGACTTTTCCGCGCTAGTGCCTTTATTAGTAGGATGTTCGTCGCTTATCGATCGGAAATTTGGCGGATTGTTTGGTAATTCTATTTTACTGTGCTTATGAGTAGCCATGATGATGTCCATCAGTAGGCTTTGCTTCTCTTCTAGCGTCTGGACCCGCTTTTCAAGTTCCTTACAGCCGACACAGCGACCGACAAGCGCAGAATCCGTCCCGTCTGTCATACAGTTTTCGAAGCCTCTTGGCAGTGCATCGGTTTTTTTTCCTGCCTTATCTCTTGGAGCCTATTGTGCGTAATCTCCCTGGAGTCTAATGATTCCAGCGGCATTTTATCGCAAGAGACTGCTAATGAATTAAATATAGTTTTCAGCTGCTCTTCTGTAGTTAATAAACATTTCTGACTAGCGCCAAACCGTCCATCGATAGCGCAGTGGCTAACGCTCTAGCCTTCGATTCCGCAGGTACAGTGTTAAGATTCCGGTCGCACAACCTTTGTGAGCGAGTTTTTTATAACAAATTTGCTCATTCTTGTTGATTTTCAAACTCGTCAATCAGTTAAAGAGTAGTGCAGGATGCTTTCAACAATTGTTAGAATGAAGAATTTGCCTGTTATGAAGTTAAATAGGAAACGACTCAGCCGCTTATAGTTTTCGACGTGGATCTCGGAGAAAAGTTGTCAAGTTAGGAGCGTTGTACAGATGGTCGGACGATTGCAAATATCCTTTGATGGAGAATTTGTGGTATACTTCACCGGTGCGAATGAGAAGAATAATCAGTGGTGCTGTTCCTTGAAGAATTCGGATAGAATCTTCCTCAATGCTAGAACTCTCTAGTTGGAGTACTTGTAATCCAAATCCAAAGGATACGGTGTCAGTTCGCAATTAACTTCCACGCGACGTTCAGTATGGCCTATACTATCAAGTAAATTCGACAAAAAGTCGGAGAGCTGGGATTCGACTTAAATTCGAAGGACCTGCTGGACTATGTCCTCGTCCGGAGGCGAGATCAGCGGGACGTGCTGGTGACAAAGGCGATGGCGGTCTCAAACGGGTGGACCAACCATCGCCTCGTCATCTCGAAGATGCGTATTCGCCTACAGCCTCGCAGGAGACCACAAGGTAAGCGACCCCCAGGAACGCTGCATGTTGCCTTGTTGTCTTTGCCCACTCACCATCTTCTTTTCAGCAAAGAGCTAGCTCAAAGTCTAGACAACCTTCCTATCGCTGCCGCCGACGACGCCGCCGCCGCTGCTAAGAACGCCTCCATGGAGAACCGCTGGTGTCAACTGCGAGACACGGTCCAGTCGACGGCGCTCACCGTCCTCGGTAGCGCTTCCCGCCAACACCACGACTGGTTCGATGACAACGACGCCGCCATCAGAAATCTGCTAGCTGAGAAGAACCGCCTACACAAAGCCTACGTAGATCACCCCACTGAGGACAACAAAGCTGCCTTCTACCGCAGTCGCCGCCAACTTCAGCAACGACTGCGCGAGATCCAGGACGCCTGGACTGCTCGCAAAGCTGAGGAGATCCAAGGCTACGCGGACCGCAACGAATGGAAGAACTTCTTCTCCGCGATCAAAGCTGTTTACGGTCCGCCGACGAACGGCATTGTTCCTCTCCTCAGCGCCGACGGCAGTACTCTTTTGAATGAGACGACGCAAATCCTACAGCGATGGGCCGAGCATTTCCAAGACGTCCTCAACCGTCGCTCCGTCATCGAGCGTTTGCCGCAAGTGGAGACCAACGTGGACCTCGACCTCCCGCCATCTCTCCAGGAGACCATCAGGGCCGTGCAGCAGCTCTCCAGCGGGAAAGCACCCGGATCGGACGTGATCCCTGCTGAGGTCTACAAGCACGGAGGTCCCCGACTGATGGATCACCTGACTGTGCTCTGCCAGGCGATGTGGCGTCAAGGTTTAGTCCCGCAAGATCTCAAAGACGCAACCATCGTGAATCTCTATAAGCGAAAAGGGAATCGCCAAGTCTGCGACAATCACCGCGGCATCTGCCTACTGAACATCGCCGGGAAGATCTTCGTCCGCATCCTGCTCAACCGCCTCAATAACCATCTAGAAAAGGGCCTTCTGCCGGAAAGCCAATGCGGCTTTCGTCGTCATCGTGTGACCACGGATATGATCTTCGCCGCCCGTCAACTTCAGGAGAAGTGTCAGGAGATGCGGACCAACCTGAACTCTACCTTCGTGGATCTGACGAAAGCCTTCGTCACGGTGAATCGTAAAGGGCTGTGGAAGATAATGCAGAAATTCGGCTGTCCGGAGCGATTCACTCAGATGGTGCGTCAGCTACACGACGGTATGATGGCGCGAGTCACGGACAACGGAGCTGTCTCAGAGGTATTCGCAGTGACCAATGGAGTGAAGCAAGGCTGCGTACTGGCGCCTAGCCTCTTCAGTCTTATGTTCTCTGCCATGCTGATGGACGCCTACCGCGACGAACGTCCCGAAATCCGCATCGCCTACAGGACAATTAGTCACCTGCTGAATAGAAGAGAATAGAATAGAACAGAATAGATTTATTGAAGCGCCCCTTGTGCACTGTCAGTCCCCTTTGAACTCAGGAAAAAAACTAAAACAAACGCGTCAATTTCAACTGCACTTTGACTTCATTTGCTTCGGGTGTCTTGTTAGCCAAAAAGAGCGCGAATTGAGAGTTTGTTTTAAGTTAAAAAAACCTCAGTTCTAAGGGAAAATAATAATCAAAGGTTATAAAAATAACGATATGTATAATATAAAAATTGAAGTTTGCAGTTTGGTAGTTTTCGGGGGCATGAATGATATGTCCTTCATGGCAATTGAAGAACTTTGATATCGGCCTGACCTTGAAATTATTTTCCTGTTGGTAAATTTTGGTTTGCTCTAGTTGTTGTTTAGAGGACGTACTGACCCTGTTGTTTTAATGTGCCCTTGCTATGATCTTCCTGTACAATTTTGACTGATTGAAGCTCTGAACGGTTTTGTTTTAGTGACCGCCGTCGAGGAGTGTGCGGGGGCCCGTCGAGAGACCGTCCGTAAAGTGGAGGACGAGGAGAAGACGGAACGAGATTAAATTTCTTCTGTTGTTATATTCCCTTTAATAAACTTTATCCACCGTCGATCCATTCTATCCGTGCACGCTTGCCCTTGCAGATGATGGACTTAATTCACTCTGATTACCAGGGTTCCCGCCGAGGACGCACTCGTTCGGATAAGAATACCAAGGAAGCCAGCACGGACTGTCGCCTAAAAGGAGAAGAAGGCAAGACGATACCCTTGAGTGGCTCGATTACTACATTGGTGGCAGCGACTACGGCGAACCCAACTGCCTCTTCTTCGTCGTCAACGACGGTCTCCGACCCCATCCCAACTTCCTTTCGGTCCTTTGATGGACGGACCGATTTCCGCAGCTGGTTACGGCGCTTCTGCTTCCACACGAACGAGGTGCCACAGGACCAACGCTCCCGATTAATTTTTAAATATTTGGGAGACGACCAACTGGACAAGGCCCTTGACGCCGGGCTGTCAGTCTCCACACCTTTTGACACCTTGTGTGACGAACTTCAGAGACTGTTCCAGCCTAGATTGGCGATTGAGGGCGCGATCCACCGCCTGCTACACCGTCGTCGTCAGTTCAGGGAAACACCTGACCAATTCGCCGCGGATCTAACGCAGCTGGCCTCCGACGCTTACCCGTCCCTCTCGGCGGCCGATAGAGACCAGGTCGTCCTGTATCACTTTTAATGCGGCCTGGCCTCCGATGAGGTGGCGTATTCATTACGCCTAAACCCCCCGGCTGACCTCGAGAGCGCCATACAGAGAGTCAATCGGTTGTTAGAGCCGAACTCCCCAGCGCCAGTTTACCATCGCCCTCCTGGAGGCTCTTCCGTTTCCCCTGGCTACCGACGACCTGGGCAAGGGCCCAGCTCACGCGGCTTCTCTAAGGCAAACAATTACACGACGTTTCACACTCGTAAGGTCTTTGGAAATCGTCCGCCATACTCGACAGCAGCACACCGCGCGGACGAAGCGGATTCCGGTACTCTGTCTGTCCCTATATGCTCTTCAAAGTCACCTAACACATTGCCATTCTTTACTTTAGTGCATGTTGACAACCGCCCTGTTAGGGCCCTAGTTGATACTGGTGCTACAGTTTCCCTAGTCCGATCTGATATACTTTCGCCTAATCGCAGGGACAGCATTGTTAAACCCAAAAGACAACCTAGCCTGCTGACGGCAAACGGAGAGCGGATGTCCACAATCGGTCTAATTAATTTGCCGTTAGCGTTCCCTACTAGCACTAAAGAACACACATTTGTCGTTAGCCCAAACGTTACCTGGGATATTTTACTTGGGGTTGATTTTCTTGTCCAGTTTAATTGCCATCTGGATATTCGTGAGCGCGTCCTTCGTTTCGGATCTGAGCCCACACCGTCCCGCCCCGCCGATTTGGTGTCCCAGGAAGACGAAATCTGTGCTGCGATCTCCGCGGCGGTCGCACTACCACCCACTAACTTAGACAGCATCTTACCGGCAGATGTAGTGCTCGACGATCAAGACCGCATGGATCTGAAATTCCTGCTGGCAACCTTTGAGGACGTTTTTGCGTGGGACGAACGTTCGTTAGGGCGTTCAACACTCGTAAGACACGCAATCGACACCGGCTCCGCTAAACCCGTGTGGCAGCCCCCACGACGTATCCCGCCACATTTTCAGACGGAGGTGAACGAAATGATACAGATGATGCTTGATTCAGGCGTGATACGCCGTCGCGCTCACCTTGGGCATCTCCAGTGACCCTGGTGCCGAAAAAGGACGGGAAACTGCGCTTTTGTATCGATTATCGCCGTCTTAATGCCGTCACCACTCGAGACTCTTTCCCACTCCCTCGCATTGATGTTACCCTAGATGCCCTTGCGGGGGCACGGTGGTTTTCCACACTCGACCTCAAGTCAGGCTACTGGCAGGTCGAGGTTGAACCTAAAGACAAACCAAAAACCGCCTTCATTCTTCCTCAAGGTCTTTTTGAATTTGAAACTATGCCCTTCGGCCTTTGTAACGCCGCCGCAACATTCCAACGCCTAATGCAATCGGTATTAGCGCACTTATATCCTGGCCACTGTTTAATTTACCTAGACGACGTCATTGTCTTTGGGAAGTCCATCAGCCAGCATAATGAGAATCTGAGAGCGGTCCTTACGGCACTTCGCGACGTGGGACTCCGTTTAAATCCCCAAAAGTGCACGTTCCTACGTAACAAAGTAACCTTCCTCGGACATGAGGTTAGCACGGAGGGCATACACGCTTCCTCGGATAAAATAGATGCCATAAAAAAATGGCCCATTCCAACGACGGCTACCGACGTTAGAGGTTTTATCGGCCTGGCTTCCTATTATCGACGTTTCATTCTTGTTTTGCAGAAATAGCACGCCCCTTGCACCGCCTCACGGAGAAAGGACGAACATTTAAGTGGACAGAGGAGTGTCAGACCGCATTTGATGAGCTTAAAACGTGGCTTAAAACAGCCCCTATTTTGATGTTACCTAACACCCAACTCGACGCTCCCCCATTTATCCTCGATACCGACGCAAGTGGATTTGCGATCGGCGGTCTTCTATCCCAGTGCGACGAGACAGGAGCGGAAAGACCTGTGTGCTTCGCTAGTAAAACCCTAACTAAACCCCAACGAAATTATTGTACTTATCGTAGGGAATTACTCGCACTAATTACGTTCGTGAAGCAGTTCAAACCTTTTCTACTTGGTCGCCACTTCATCATCCGTTCGGACCATAAGGCCTTACAGTGGCTGCAGAAGATGAAGGACGCCGAAGGTCAGCTTGCACGATGGCAAGAGGTACTGCAACAGTTCGATTTTAGTTTTCAGTTCCGTCCAGGGAAGAAACACGCCAATGCGGATGCCATGTCCCGCCGCCCCGCAGACACGGGTGACAAGCTGCCAACGGAGGATTTCCATTTCATATCCGCCCTTACCATCAGTGAGCCAACTCGCCACCATTGGGCTATCGCTCAAAGCACAGATCCCGATACAGCCATAGTTTATGACCACCAGCTCAACGGGAGACATCGCCCGACTGACTCCGAACTACGTGGTTCATCTGATTCTGCGCGAATCATACGAAGTCATTGGGCTCACCTACTCATGGAAAATGACCTCCTCTTCTTCAAGGACGACACACATAGTCAGCCTCGACTGGTTGTCCCCGGCAGCTTAGTCCTGCCTATTCTAGACGATCTGCTCCGCGAGCTCGGCCATGTAGGTCATGTGAAAACGGAGGCTGCTGTGAGACAACGCTTCTGGTGGCCACGCCTCAGAGAACAAGTCTCCATTTTCTGTAACACCTGCCCCATGTGCGCCACCTTTAAAGGACCCAACCCCCGACGCCGGGCGCCCCTCCAACCTATGGCAACAGGATTCCCATTTGAACGGGTGGGCATCGACGAGATCGGACCCCTGCCCATCACCCTGACTGGCAACCGCTATATATTAGCGATGGTTGACTACTTCACTAAGTGGGCAGAGGCAGTCGCCCTCCCACGACAGGACGCAGCATCAGTCACTACGGCCCTTCTCACCACGTGGATTTGCCGCTTCGGAGCCCCCATCTCCTTACATTCCGATTGCGGGGCGAACTTCGAGAGCCGCCTAGTGCGCGACGTCTGTGACCTACTTCAAATCCATAAAACGCACACCACACCGGCTCACCCTGAAGGGAACGGCCAAGTGGAACGAACGAACCGGACCATCATTAACTTGTTAAAAGCCTTCGCGGAAGACCACAACCCCCACAACTGGGACGTTCGGCTGCCATACGCCATGATGGCATATAGATGCGCGGTCCGTACCTCGACTGGCTACGCCCCCTTCTTCATGCCTACCGGACGCCATTTCCGCTTACCCTCTGACTCTCAACTCCCGCTCCCAATCTGCGACGACTATCAGCCAGATGCTTATGTCCTAGAGTTGCAGGAAACCTTGAGGACCACGCACAATCTAGCGCGAACTCACCTAGAGTCAGCCTTTACAAGACAGAAAGCCTATTTCGACCAACACGTCAGCGGAGCACCTTACGGTCCAGGCGACCTGGTACTGCGCTACCGTCCGACTCCACCGGTGGGGACTTCGGCAAAGTTCTTCCATCCGTGGGAGGGTCCCTTCGTCATCCTTGACTTCTTTCCCCCTTCGACTTATACCATACGTGACGCGCAGTCGGCCGGAGGCCCCGTCCTCACCGTCCACTACGATAAGCTGAAACCTTATAGAGGCCGACTACCTAACGCGACCGCCGACACCCTTCCCATCCTTCACCCTCACCTGGTCCCTCAACCCTCCGAAGAGGTGGAAGTCACCAGCAGCCCCTCCAGGCAGCGCCTCTGAGGACAGAGCCAACTCTTGAGAGGGGGGGCGTGTAGAGGACGTACTGACCCTGTTGTTTTAATGTGCCCTTGCTATGATCTTCCTGTACAATTTTGACTGATTGAAGCTCTGAACGGTTTTGTTTTAGTGACCGCCGTCGAGGAGTGTGCGGGGGCCCATCGAGAGACCGTCCGTAAAGTGGAGGACGAGGAGAAGACGGAACGAGATTAAATTTCTTCTGTTGTTATATTCCCTTTAATAAACTTGATCCACCGTCGATCCATTCTATCCGTGCACGCTTGCCCTTGCAGATGATGGACTTAATTCACTCTGATTCCCAGGGTTCCCGCCGAGGACGCACTCGTTCGGATAAGAATACCAAGGAAGCCAGCACGGACTGTCGCCTAAAAGGAGAAGAAGGCAAGACGATACCCTTGAGTGGCTCGATTACTACAGTTGGTTGTCAGTCTATCTGGCCAGATGTAAGGGGGCGGTCGGACAGTTCTGACGTATTTTTCAGGAGTTTACCATCGTTGTCTGGATTAAGAGCTGGAAAAGATAAATATATATCAGGAGTAAGAAGCATTCAATGGTAAGTCACAATCAAAACTGTCAAAATACTATTGGGTCATGTATCATATTGTTCTTGTTAATGTGAAATTAGAGGAGTAGTGGTCGACTGTTTACTATTACCTAATATAGTTCTATGTATGTTTAATATGGCTTTAATATAGACATACGCACGACTAATATGCAGGGTTTTGTCGAAGGGTATATTTTTATTAGCTTTATAAGGGATATTTAGAGTCAGGTGACATAGCTGATGAAAACGAGAAAGGGAGGAAAATAGACTAATATCATTTTCGGTTCTATGTTTATCAATGATGCTTTCTTTTATAAATTTGATTATTTTTAGTGCTATGTTCCGGTATTTTTCAATCGGCTGGCATCATCAGAGCCCTTTTGGACCAAATTCAATATCAAAGTATTGACTTAAAAAATGTCCTATCTTATTCAAAAATAAATGTGTATTGTTATTTGAGAGGAATTTCTTAGTTTTTTTTTTAAATTCGATTAGGGTTCGACTTTTCCGGATATAACCTGGAAGAGAATTCCAGATAGTCGCATATCTTATGGTGTAGAAATTTGATCGTTGGGACTTTGTGAATTTGGGAATCTTTATAATATCCTCGCTATTTCTGGTGTTTCTAGGGGCGTTTTGGTTGGTAAGTAAATTCATTTTGAGAATATCTTGATCGTGGGTGACCTTGAATAGGAAGTTTAGACCATTTTGAAGTCTTCTGATCCAGAGTGGTCGAAGACGGTATTTATGATATAGTTCTAAGTATGAACCCTGGACAAAGATCTAGTAAACCGTCTCTGAATGCCTTCTGGTTTCTTTCGGCCGTCTGAGGGCATTATGCCGAAGAAAATTGAACAGTAATCTAGGAGAAGTAAAACATACCTATGCGTGTACTACTGTGTGTGTGAGGAAATCGGTGGCGCGCGTTTCGAATTTGGCTTCAAATTTTCGTCCTCCGAGGGGTTAATATTCTTCGAGATTTCCGCACTCTGGATGCTCCTGCAGTCAAACGGATTTTAGAAAATTGATTCACAGAAAGCAATATTCGCATCGTCATCAATTTACGACACCACCTTTGCAGAACGTGGACTTCGACACTACCAGTTCTGCATACGAGCCTAAAAAGACCAATCTTCCAGCAAACGAAACGCTTAGAACAAAGGCTGAGTCTCACTTCGAAATTAGACTTTGGCTGTACCTTTGCTTTGATGCATTAACTTGAATTTCTGTTAACTGTAGTGCCGTTAAATTCGACTAGGTTTCTGTTGTCTGAAGTCTCGAAGCATTCGCTTAGATTTCCGTTGCCTAAAGCTTCCCTGACATCCGAAAGCCTTAGGCCTTCTTTTGATTGTGTCTGTCTTCTGCTGCCAACCTTTCGGCCGTTGTTGTATCCTTGACTTTGGCGCATTGAGACATGGAAAATGTAGAAGTGTACGATCCATCAGTCCCGCGGGATGAAAAAAGGGCGTGGGGAGCGGGCGTCGAACCTCCGACCATCGCCTCACGAGGCGAACGCCTAGACCCCTCGGCCATAGACACCGAGAGGATGTCCTCAAAGAATATTAATTGCATTAGCCCCACGGTTGGGGAATGTGTCGGATTTTGCCATGAAAATAGTGCACTAGCAACTCCATGCGGACTAGCGTCGATTCACGCTGGGCAGGGAGGATCTAACGAACGCAGTACGCCAGAAGTTGTTCAAAACAGGACGGAGGTGGCGCGCAACGCAAATTATCCCGGGAAATTCGCCACGCCTACACAAGATTTTCTACCAGATGATGAACCTTCAAATTGTGGTTCGCGGTGTAAATATTGTCGAGATCTCGCGTTAAACACTACGTCGTTGGAGACAAACATGAACCTCCTTATAGATCTCATTGCATTGTTACTAAAATATGATAAATTCAAGTCAATTGATGAATTCAGCAGTAGCCAACAGATAGTTTCGAAACTGACAGAGTTGACTAACAGCAACCCACTAGTAGAGGGATCACCGTTTCAGGAGATCGCTGGCTGCAGAAATAAACAGAGTGCTAAGAGAAAAGGTAAACGGAAACATGAACATACAGCCTCACCCTCACCAAGAGCGATGGTAAACGACACTCCAAAATCGCAAACTAAGTTGCGAAGTGATAATGGCAGTACACTCTCATCATTGAGAACTACCCAGCTGAAGAACAATGACCAGCTCACTGGCAGAGTAGAAGCTGTCCAATCTCCACCACAGAAGAAGGTAAAAGGATTCGACATAGAAAAAACTCCTGCATGGACGGAAACCTCAGAGGAAATCGCGGAGAATATGACAAGGCATGATAGTAATCCACCGCAGAAGAGCAGAAAGCAGACGCTCACTGCCCCCCGCAATGTGACCAAAGAGAACCAAGGAATTAATAATAAGACTCGGACCGTTCACATGCAACTGAGGTCACATAAAAAGAAGCAGTTAAATCAAAAGGGACTGATGACTGGAAAGAGAGAGACGGAAATCGGACGACTTCGGAGTACCCGAAGAAAGGAACTTCCTGGGGTGGAAAAGCAGAGCTCGTCTGAGCAATCGACAGAAACCTCCAGCGCCAGCGTAGACACAGACGCGGCAAATGCGAATATCCTCTGTATTGACATAAACGACAGGAGCAGTATTGCCCCAAACACGAAACCATTAGCTGCAGAAAAGATACCTGGAGTGGATGGCAACCAGAATGTCATCATGAATGGTTCGCCAGGAACTCCCAAGTCACCAACATCGCGCAACCAAGACCGGCCGCTCCGAGAACAGTGCCTAGTGATACAGGGACTTCAGGAGCCTCAAGCCGATACACCTAAAGAACGCGTATTAGCTGATCTCGGCTTGTTCCAAGGTCTTCTAAACACACTGCTTCAACCCGACGAAGAAATTTCCGTGTTGAAAGCCTTCCGACTCGGAAAGCGCTCCACTGAATCCGCTATTCCACCGCATCCTAGGCCCCTTAAAATTGTTCTGAGTTGCAAAGAGCATGTTGATCTCATCCTCTCAAGACGTTTTAGGTTAAAATATTCCCACCAAGGAGTTTTTTTTCAGCCGGATTACACACCACCGGAGCGGATAAAACGCCGACAGTTAGTTCAGGAGCTAAGGCTGCGACAAACGAATGGCGAACAAGGCCTGGTTATCTACAACAACTGCATAATCGAGCGACCGTCCCGCTTCATATGGACACGGCCCGTGCGTATGTCGCCACAGCCGAGACAATTGACAAAGGCGGCGTCATAGCCGGCTTACCAAAGGAGAAAAAGCTAAAATGCTTGTATTCCAATGCGCAAAGTCTGCTATCTAAATTAGATGAGCTTAAAATCTACGTTGACCAAACCTTACCCGATGTTATATCCATAACTGAAACGTGGCTGTCCGCGGGCGTAGACGATCGCGAAGTCGCTTTATCTGGTTATCACTTGTTCAGAAAGGACAGGTTGGGACGTCAAGGTGGAGGTGTGCTCGTGTATGTCAAATATGGCCTTTTCGCGTCAGAAAAAGAGGGACAGCTCGCGCGCGCAACTGAAACGATTTGGCACACCGTCAAAGGGCCGGGGTCACAACCTCTCGAGATACTGACGGTCTACCGCCCACCGAGGAACGACCCGCAATCAGACAGTAGTCTACTAGAGGAATTAGAAGCGATTTCCCTCCGACCCAATGTCATGATTATGGGCGACTTTAACGCTCCGAATATCGACTGGAATCTGACTTCTGCCCCGGGCTCAGAATTTAACTTTGATCGCCGCCTCCTAAATTCTGTGCAAAGATCGCATCTCACACAACACATCTTATCCCCAACCAGACTATGTGAAGGACAACTAGCTAACTGCCTAGATCTTGTATTGACAAAGGCACCGGAAAGCGTTGATGTTGTAAACTGTCTACCCCCTCTCGGAAAAAGCGACCGTGTAGTCCTACAGTGGGAGTATTCTCTCTTCTCTGTACCCGATCAAAGCATCGTGATTAGACGCAACATATGGCGTGGTGACTTCAACCAAATGCGTCTCGACATGCGTCGTAGAGACTGGAAAGCAGCATTTACGGGGTGTGTCCTCAAGGACTGGCTAGAACTTAAGGCCATACTGAATGAACTTATCACCAGATACTGCCCTATGTCGAAAAAGAAAATCACCAGTAGGCCCCGATGGCTTAAGGGTTCACTAAAAGTTGAAGTAAACCGTAAGCAAAAGCTGTGGAAAGCATATGTTAGGGACAAGACAACTGAATCAAGAAATAGGTATAAGGCTCAGCGGAATAGGGTAAAGTGCCTTGTTTACAAAGCCCGCCAAGACTTCGAGGGTAACCTTTTAAACTGTGCAGGAGAAAACCCAAAGCTTTTTTTCAACTACATAAGACAAAGTACTCGCAACAGGGATCCCATCCCTATGCTAAAAACTGATAATGGCGTTGAAATTTACAAGGACGACGAAAAGGCTGAGCATCTGTCCAGGTTCTTTCAGTCGGTCTTTACGAGAGAAGTCGCTGTACCCACTGATCACTGTAATGTGGACACTGTCCCGACAATTGACTCAGTGGTTCTCACAAAACCTATTGTTCAACAGGAATTACTGAAGCTAAAAGAAGGGACTTCGCCCGGTCCTGACGAAATACCGGCAAAGTTGTTGAAAGAATTGGCCACAGAATTGGCAGAACCTCTGAGCGTCCTCTTCCAAGCCTCTCTTGATGCAGGCAGACTGCCTCCTGAGTGGAAGACTGCGTGGATTTCACCGATTCATAAAAATGGCAGTCGCGCTTCCGCAAACAACTACCGACCAGTAAGCCTCACCTCCATATGCTGCAAAGTTATGGAGCGAATAATCAAACGCGAACTGATGCGGTTTTTAGAGCAAAATCATCTTCTGTGCGATGCTCAGCACGGTTTCCGCAGAGGGAGGTCCTGATTAACCAATCTACTCTACTGTCTTGAACAGTGGACCCGAGCGATTGATGAAGGAAACGCTTTGCATGTGGCCTACATAGACTTCTAGAAGGCATTTGACAGCGTGCCACACCAACGTCTCCTACACAAGCTCAGCCACATAGGGGTAAGAGGCAAGCTTTTGAAGTGGATTGAAAACTTTTTGGTCGGTCGGTCCCAGACTGTTCGTCTTGGTGGCCAGCACTCGACAGAGGTGACGGTTACGAGCGGAGTACCTCAGGGCTCCGTTCTTGGCCCTATTCTCTTCCTCATCTATATTGATGACTGTATCCATGGATTGGACTGCAAGATTGCCATGTTTGCTGACGATATAAAGCTTTGGACCGTCATCCGCAACGAGGACGATGAGGCAAATTTACAGGCAAACTTAAAGCCACTCTAAATGGGAGGAGCCAGTGGCCTGACTAAATGCAACATTCTGAGGATTGGCAGAACCAGCTCTGCGCACCGGCAGACGTATTATCTAAATCACACACCGCTGCCACTGGTAGAGGTTCAGAAAGACCTAGGTGTGTGGATAACATCTTCACTAAAGCCATCATTCCACTGCTTGAAAGCAGCAAAATCCGCAATGTCCAGCTTATATCTCATTAAGCGGGCATTTGCCAAGTTCGATGAAGAGTGCTTCCGCAAGGTCTTCGGGATGTTTGTGCGCCCACAGTTAGAATTTGCCATTCAGGCCTGGAGACCCTGGACTGTTAAGGATCGTACCACCCTCGAAAAAGTCCAACGACGGCAACCAAGCTTGTCAGAGGTCATAAAAACCTACCTTACGAAACCAGACTTTCAAATCTTAACCTCTTTCCCCTGGACTACAGACAACTCCGTGGCGACTTAATTCAAACGTTTAGAATGCTACGGGGTCAGGACTGCTGCCTCGCATCCGGCGACTTCTTTGAGCTGGCCACCACTACTAGCTTGAAAGGACATCCTCTGAAACTACGTGTGACAGGAGCGAGACTGGACGCAAGACGGTCCTTCTTCAGCCACAGAATGGTAACGGCATGGAACGCCCTGCCTGTGGATGTCGTCATGTCCTCATCCGTGGACTCGTTTAAGAGAAAGCTTGACCAGTACAGGGATATGTACCTCCACAGCATCAGAAACTAACGAATTTTCCCCCCTGTGCCACCCGTCCACTCCAACGTTTTATGTTACAAAGCAGGCTACTCCCTATATTTTAGTAACATTCCGTTTTACAATTTTCGATATCTCCTGACCGCCACATATGCGCTTGCTTTGATATTACTTGGCCCATTCATTGCCGTACTGGATATTGTACAATCTTGACACAGAAGGCATTCACAGACAAATTCATACCAGTGACCAATGCTTGTTGTATGTAATTACTTACCTAATTTTTTTCACACTTGCCTTACACATTGTTTTTTTTTCTGACGTTATTGTTACCAAAAGGGAGTTCAAAGGCGCTCGCCTACTTTTCCCTTAATAAATCTGATCTGATCTGATAAATTTTGAACAGTTGTATTCTTAGTGCATTTAAGGTGAAATTTTTACATATGAATCCACACAGGCGAGTGGCTTTCGGTGATATTTGTTGGACGTATGGAGATAAATCAAGGGTATTTGTATAGCTGAGACCTAAATCTTTTACAGATTGGGTCTCTGTTAATTCCTCATCCTCGAATATTATGGGGGGAAGTTTTTGTGGGCCAAATATCAGGAGATGGCATTTTTCGGTTGAAAAGGGCATCTGCCACTGACTACTCCATTCGCTGAGTTTTCTGAGATCAGTTTGAATTGTTCTATGAATATTGGCTACTGTATTCCCGTTATATGCATATGCAATTTTAAGGTTGTCCGCATATAAAAACGTCTTAGCTGAGACAGATATGGACGATAAGTCGTGAATATATAAAAGAAATAGAAGGGGGCCTAGGATAGTGCCTTGAAGTACTTCACTGGTAATAGGGGATGGTTCTTTTCAGTTTATTTCAGTTTATTTGATAAGGATGATGGGCAAAGCCTTTGAAAACCCTATTGATAACATGTCAACTCGTTAGAAATAACTGTACAGTAACAACGAAAATGTTCTCTATATACATAGTACTTGATTCTTTTGAGTAGCATTGTCATAGAGAAAAAATATGTGGGGAACCGGGGTGTTTAGCTCAGATTCAGACTGTCGAGAAAAAACAGGGGACACAAATACTCATCCAAGCGTTTCGTGAAGAGTTGCAGGGATGTCGCCTCCACGACTGACTGAGGGAGATCGTTCCAGTTCTCCACTACCCTTTGCGTGAAAAATTCAGAACGAAGGTTCAGCCTGGACATTGTTGTCCGTAGCTTCATCGAGTGGCCACGAAGATTGGGCGAGAGGTGCCACTGAAACATGTCCTCAAAGTTAAGTCCATGCTCAAGGCCATTTATCATCTTGTAAACAAGGATTAGATCACCTCTTTGCTGCCTGTAACACAGAGGGAATAGATTAAGGCAATTCAGTCTGTCCGTGTAGGATTGGTTTTTTAGACTGTTTACCATCTTTGTTGCCCTACGCTGCACCCGTTCGAGGCACGCTTTGTCCTTTACAAGCCATGTCCGCCATGCTTGTATGCCATATTCTAAGTGGGGCCGAACGAATGTGCCGTAAACTCTCCCAAAAAGGTCTTGGTCAAAGGTAACTAACGCCCTTTTGATTGCGTGCAGCACTCCCATTGCGTTTTTTGCAGCCTTGTGGCACTGCAATTTTGGTTTCAGATTGTTCTGTATTCAAACCCCGAGATCCTTCTGTGAAGATTCTGCGGGGAGTCTTATATCTTACAGATGATATGTCCTCAGGCTCTGATTTGAATGAGAGTTAGTTGGACGCAGATGGAGGACGGCACACTTCTGCACATTGAAGTCTAGAAGCCATTTCTCCGACCACGCCTGCAGTCGGTGCAGATTATCTTGAAGAGATCTCTGATCATTCGGACCCTTAATGACTTGCCAGAGCTTAAAGTCGTCTAAAAACATTATTTTGCTACAGTCGAGTTCCTGAAGGCTGTCATTAACATAAAGGAGGAATAGCAATGGTCCCAGAACTGAGCCTTGAGGCACACCGCTGGTCACGCTCACCCATTCTGACATATCATCACCGATGCAAACACGTTGTTTCCGACCAAACAGAAACGCCCCTATCCAGTTGAGAAGATCTCCCCGGATGCCGATGGCGCTCAATTTGTGAAGAAGGCGTTGGTGCGGGACAGTATCGAAGGCTTTGCGAAAATCGATGTAGACGACATCAACTTCAAAACCCTCTTCTAGGGCCCTGGTCCAGATCTCCAGACAAGCTAGCAGATTTGAGAGGCAAGAACGTCCTCTCCGGATGCCATGCTGGAAATCCTGCAAGAGGTTATTTTCTTCACAAAATTGCTGTATGGCACTCTTTACTAGAGCTTCCATCGTTTTGCACGAGATGCAGGTTAGCCTAATAGGCCTGAAACAGCTTGCTGCCATCCTGCTACCGCCTTTATGTAAGGGAACGAGGTAAGCTGTCTTCCACTGTGATGGCAGCCTTCCTGTTCTCATTGACAGCTCAAAGAGCGTCGAAAGAGGCTTCGCCCGCTCCTTTGATAGCTCCGTAAGTATCAGATCAGGAATTCCGTCGGGTCCAGGAGACTTGTCTGGTTTTATTTGACTGAGGACGCGTCTGACTTCTTCAACGGAAAAGGCGACGGTTTCAATGACGGCAGTATCTTGGCGCATTTGAAAATCCCGTCTGTTTTTGTCCATTTCAAACTGCTGATCGTCTTCTGAGGACTCCTCCGTAAAAACCGATTGAAAAAACTCAGACAGTAACTGCACTTTCTGGGGCCCTTCGACTAGCAAGTTTCCGAGGCTGTCCTTAAGACACGCAATTTCGTCCCTGTGTTTTCTCCTACTACGGATGTACTTGTAAAACTTCTTGGGACATGTAATGGATTCTGCTACCAGTCGGCGCTCGAAAGAAGTTCTGGCAATCTGTTTTTGTTTGCGGCATTTATTGCGCTGATCCTTATATTCGGCGAGTGATACTGGATCTCGAAGTTGCATACACTTTTTCCACAGCCTCTGCTTCTTCTTCATGGCCTTTTTTGTCGTCGAATTGACCCACGGCGGTCGCCCACATGGTCTTGTTATTTTTATGGGACAATGGGAGTCAATTAGACTCTCTATAATCCCGCGAAAGTACTGCCAGAATTCTTCAGAATCTTCGTTGTTGACTAACCAGGTTTCTTCCAAAAGAGCACGTCTCATTGCGTTAAAATCACCCTTCCAAATATTTTTGCGACTCTTGATTTTTGGTTGTTGGTTCGATAGGAGAGGGCACACGCATGTAAAAGCCGAGGGGAGGTTGGGGATTCACTTCTCTTATGACTCCTTCTTCTTTACTAAAAACGAGATCTAAACAGTTAAGTCGTTGTCCGTCTCTTAGTCTTGTTCCGAATTTTATGTGTTGAATGAGGTATTAATTCAAGGAGAGTTGTAGTAGCTTGTGATCAAATGACGTGAACGGGGCGTTTGCTAAGGAAACTTTCCAGTCTATTCCAGGAGCGTTAAGGTCACCCAGAAGTAATAAGTTCTCCTGCTTACATAACGACTCCAGTACACTAAGCAATTCCACATCAGCGGTTTTATTCGAGCTGGGAGGCCGATAGACAACACACAGGTTAAGTGTCGGTAATCATTTGATGCATATCTTGCATGAAATTATTTCAAAAGTTCTCGGCGCGTCATCGGTTATTTCTCGCTGACAGCAAGGACTTTCATTTGACACATAAATCGCTGTGCCTCCTCCTCTTTTGAAACGACGTTTCGAATTTGCACCACCTAGTATCGGTTTTGAAGATGAGATTTAAGAAAATCAAGAAGGGGTGGCCTAATTCCACGACTTTTTAGCTTTATAAGTAGTATTTTATGGGGGACTTTGTCAAAGGCCTTTCTTAGATCGAAGTATATCAACGGCGGATGCACTTCCAGTCGAGCGTTTCCACAACC